TAGAAAAAACATAAACGTGCATGTACTCGATTGTGATATGTTTGTTTTTTTGTTTGTATGTTGTTTAACGTCCCTCCCGAATATTTTTCACTCATATGGAGACGCCACCACTTGCCGGTTGAGAGCTGCAAATTTTGTCCTTTACTCGGCACTTACGCCATTGAGCAGTGAGGGATCTTTTTCGTGCCAGCACCTACTGCGACACGGGACGTCGGTTTATACGGTCTCATCCGAAGGACCGGTCTCCACTTCCCACAGTGGGATTCGAACCCCGATTGTGATACGCGACAATACAATGGTACATTAAAACCCAAACAAGGAACATAGCATGCGTACTTGCGAAAAATTGGAATACATTAAGCATGAAGAATTTTACTGAAGTAATTTTCCTTTGAAAATAAGCCATATTGTCTTTTCACTTATGTTTTACATTAAAATAAATACACAGAAGGTAGTGGCAAAGGCCTGGAACAGGTTCGTTGCAACGGTTTCAAAAGTGGGGAACCCCCACCCCCCCCCCCCACCCACCCCCACCCCAAAAAAATACCAACAAATGAGGGTTGTGGGGGGAAGGGAGAAACTTCCCAAATTAATGTGACCAAAACAAACTTCATTAGCTGTCCAAGTCAAAAACCTAATTAACTATCCAAGTCATGGAACTTGCCAGGTCAAAAAGCTAATCAACTGTCCAAGTCATGGGATTATGGAATTTGCCAGTGCTCAACCTTTTAGCGACAAAAAGTGGGATGGGTGACCAACATCGGAAGGAAAATATAGCAAAATACTACACTCAGAAAAAGTGGAGGGCCGGGCCCCCTGGAAAATTTAACAATTATGAAATCATATATTATTAAAATATGGAAAAGAGATTTTTGAAAATTTATCAGTTATTTCATAACAGAATAATCAGTTCTAACTGAATTAGATTTCTTGGCATGTATCATATTACATGTATTACACTATAGGCATAGAGTATAACATTGATATCGATATGATGATTTACAAAGTCCATGTAAAAATACGCATATACAACATTTCCATTAGCATACGCATTCTCAGTAAAGGTTTGCAAAGAGCTTAATTAGTTTTTAACCCCTTCACTTCCATATCGGTCAATTTGACCGATGGCGCGTTAAAACACGACTTCGCGAAAACAAGATCTCCGTATCTATTTTATGATAGCATAAAGGTATACAAACTATATATCATCTTTTTGGAAATTTTCTCTACTTTTAAACTATGCAAAAATGTTATGTCTTAATGTCGATAATGAATAGATTTTACGTTTTGAAGACATACACGACTTTTTGAAAATGGCGCGGTTTTCCAAAGCAATTGACGATTTTCCAGACGATTGACATTTTTTTCCTAATTAACTTATAAAGAAAGTATGATATATTCTTAAAGCATATTTTCTGTGCTTTTAAAATATGTAAAAAATATTGTTATTACTTTAAAATATTTTGTAAAAACAAGAATTTTCTTGCACTTATGTGTTTTTTCTCGTTTTTATTCGTAATATTTAAATAAAGCTCAGCTTTACGTGTATTTCTGTACTGAAATAGGGAAAACAAAATAAAGCTGGTAAAAGTAGAGAAAATTTCCTTTTCAACAAGCCTTTACTGGTCTTCTTACTGTCAGTATTTTCTTAATTATGATAGTTTGAATTTGTGACCATTGCATAATTTTTGTAGAAAAACGGGGGCGATCAATATTTAACGTCAAGGTCGATTTTGTTGCGTCTTACTAGGAACAATTAACTTACATACATGTATATTGTTTTATAAGTACTATTTATATTTATACTTTTAATGAAATAAATGCTTAATACAAAATAATTGGTTTAAAAAAAACAAATATATACTATCTATCTTTTGTAAAGTTTTTTTTTAATATAATGAATTTATTTATCTATATTACATGTACAATAATGTTGATAAAAAATGTACATTCCCTAAACGTCTTTACGTCGAAAAAAAAAACGAAGTTAGAATATTGCTGTATGTTAATATATATATTCTTTAAAATATGAAATTTAATTAGATCTCTACTGACACGGAATTTAACAACTTTGAAACAAGCACAAAAACTCGCAATTACACGACTCATCACTGTAAGAGTTATTACGAATTGAGATTACCACGTGTTTCCGCTGTAGCAGTAAACAACAACATGATGATGATCTGAACGTCAATTTTCAATATTTACACTTGCAAATGTTTCCCCCTATGTAACACTATTTGAACAAGACGTTTTTACATCTCTATAAAAACAAGTTTGGGTTCAAGAGGTCACATGCTAATTAGTGCGCATGAATACATTGACGTCCTGGGAACTAGGTCACTACTTTTACTACGAACGTAAACAAAACCGGCTGAAATCAAATAAAAGGTGTTGTTCACACAATGTCGGATGAAAAAAAAAATCATTTTCGTAAACAAAATAAAATCTGTTCAAAAACAAACTTTTTTTATTACAAAAAACTTTTTTTATTCATTTATCATAATATACGTCTGCTTTCAACCCCCCCCCCCTACCAAAACATAACTATCATGGCTGAGTTTGGAAATTTTGATCTCTGTGATGACGACCCGTTGCTGTACCTTCTCTTTGATAATGATATCCTGGCCGCATTGGATCTCCCTTTTATGGCCCCAGCAAGCGTTGAAGAGACTGAAGAGGTCGAGAAGGAGCTGAAGATGTCTGATATGGAGGGACTTCCTAGCCCTGGTATGCCCGCCCCCCCCCCCCCCCTTCTAAGAGATTTAAGTCAATGACTGAGGAAGACCTGAAACAGTTTGAGGACTCCAGACAATCCATTTCAACAAAAAGAAATACTCAGTGGGGAGTGAAACTCTTTCAAGGTACATATGTTATAAGTACCTCTAAAAAAAACTACAAACAAGGAATATAAATCATAAACAAATTAAACCAATCAAAATTCAAACAATGCCGATATCAATATATCCTTGTAAATAAGGCAAAGGTATGTTCTACAAGTATATTTACAGTATAACAATACATTCACCAGCACAAAGGCATACCATATTTTTTCTGCAGTTTCAGCAGGTGATTCTAATGAAAGAATTCAATGTATTTCAAACAAACAAACAAACAAAACAGAAATGCAGTTAACTTACAAAAATAAATTATAATTTTTAAATCAACATAAAAAACAACAACTAAACATGCAAACCAATAAACAGAAAAAAACTACAAACAAAAATTTAACTATAAAATAAATAAAAATTAACATGATTAATGCAATCAAAATCAATGATTTAAATAAACTCCCTTTACAATTTATAGATTGGCACTTGGAGGTCTTTTCTGATGTTCTTGATTTCAAAACTGTCACATCTGAGATCCTTGCTGAAAAACTGAGGAAATTTTATTGCGAAGCCAAACCCAAATCAACTTCAAAAAGGACGGCAGAGTTAACAGTTGCACAAGCTGAAAATTATCACAAAAAAAGTTTAAAGAATCTTCGCGCTGCAATTAATAGGCACCTTCAGGATTTGGGTAGATCCATCGATATTTTTCGAGATAAGGAATTTAAAACAGCGAATCATACTTTAGATGGAATGCTCAAATCCCTGACAAAAACTGGTGCATCAAGGGCCACCAACCATAAAACAGTCATTCATCCTGAAGACCTTCAGCGCATCTCTACATATTTTCTTTCTGCTCCGCATTCTCCAATTGTCCTTCGCCAGTGTGTTTGGTACAATTTGTCTATTCATTTAGTTACAAGGGGTTTAGAGTTTCATCATCAATTACTAATGGATTCTTTTCAATTTCACAAAGATGAGAACAACTTAGAATACATAACTCTTCGTCACGAAACACAACAGAAAAACTTCCAAGGAGGTATTGCATCTGATGAAGCTCCTTCTGGAAAGCGTATATACGAGGTTCCTAGAAGTGAAACCTGTCCTGTAAAAATGTTGCGCTTGTTAATGAGCAAGACAGATCCCAGTGCTACAAGTCTATTTAATACATGTTTCAAGGATGCCCTATTGAACTCTGGATCTGACCTCTGGTACACTTCCAAACCTTTGGCAAAGAGATCATTCAGTGGCTATATGTCCGATATTTGCAAGTCATCTAAATGTCTGAAGTCTTACACCCCTCACTGCTTGAGAGCCACGGCTATTACTGCAATGAGTGATCATGGATTCGAGTCACGACAGATAATGTTCATGAGTGGACATCGTAGCGAAGCGTCTCTGAAAACCTACAATCGAAATTTGTAAAATGAGCAAAAACGATCCGTAAGTTCATGCCTGTCTCTGCTCACAAATCCTGATCAAAATGGCAATCACAGCAACACCAACCTTTCGTGCAGTGCATCCACGACGTTCACTCCATTAGCTTCTTCCTCCGTTTCTCCTCGTGAACAAGAAAAGCATTTCTCTGAAATTCCAAAGGAAAATCATCCTGCTTTTGACGCTAGTTCTTCCGTCAGCACCTCCATGTCGTCTGATTTCCTCTCAAAGTCTGTTTTCAATCACTGTGTTTTTAACTTCAAATAGACGCCTTAGGACCACTTTACTTCAACGGAAGTAGTGACATTCCGCAAAGTTTTTCCCGATTTTTTCAAAATACACAGTAATTCTCTTGTAGTTTTACTTTTGTAGAAAATACAATGTTCGTTTAACTTAAACTACTGTTTATTTTTAATCAGTGTTAATTAAATAGTTGAAATATATGGAACTACTTTTTGTTACGTCATTTTAACTGAAGCGCTTATCTAGGTCAAATCAGAGGAATGTATGGAAAAGCGTTGTAGGCATCAATTCGCAAGAAGTGTAAATATAAGTAATAAGGTATCATTTTTTGAGTTTTATTGGGATGTAAAACGGGCTGGCACATGATCAAATCTTCCATAAAGCCCTTCGGGCTTTATGGATTTGATCACGTGACCAACCCGTTTTACATCCCAATAAAACTCAAAAAATGATACCTTATTTCTTAATTATTATTTTTAGACGAAGAACATCACATCAATGCATCAAATAATACGGTCTTTCCTTTGGTATTGGAGGTGAGTAAGTATTGACTGAAGAGGTTTAAATCTGTCTTTAAAACGCATTAATTCACGCTCAAATGAAACAAAATGCACACACGTACTAGATCTTCATGTACATGTATAGGCGTTACCCTGTTTCAGTGTTTGTATCTCGTATTTTAGATTGAAACTTGTTCAGCCTATTTTGTGTTGCTTTTGAAGTGTATGCTTTTGATGACCACCCTTAAGTACCTTTCAAAATAAAATCAAGTTGGCATAGGAATGGAGAGTTGTTGTCAGTATGAGTGTACATGTAACATTATCACATTGAATGTTTAGGGTGCTGGCACCATATGCTTCAGTACTTTCATCTGTGAAGACCCACTTGCTAACCCTACCAATCACTAGAAGGACCATTATGTGGGGACACAGGTGCTTATTATGACCAATGAACAGGTAAATTTTTGTTTTGGTGAAAATTTCTATATCTATAAAAATTCTAATTAAAGTGAAGTTTTCATTGCATTCTCTTGATATTGCATTCACACAAGTTTATAAGAATTTGATTTATATTCTGAAAAAAGTGTATGATACACATAATATGTATGATGCATGATTCTACATATAAACACACTATTTAAACACACAATATTTATTCGAATTTATGCCCAGATATGGAACAAGCTGTCTTTTATAGACTGCTGTGGTATTTTCAATCGCGTGAAGTATGTGGTTAGAATTTCCATTTTCTCAATTTTTCAGTCATGTACATGTATACATGGGTGGTCAAACTATATTCACCGGATGGCTATTTATCAACACTCCCATGTACACGAACAGCCTTGCCCCAGGAATTTTGCCCTGAAGCAACAGTTTTCAGTCAATTAATGTGTCCTTTTTCTTAACAACCCTGACAGGTATGCTATTTCTTTAACTTCAATAATTCAATTATGATGGTTTACTACTGGCTTGATTATTTTTCAGTCCTGATACATTGACTTAACCAAATCATTTAACTACTTGAATCACATAATAATATTAATATACTTTTAATTTTAAAAGGAAAATTATATCAATGTATTAATTGTAGCATTCTTAATTTTATATATGTAAATTCACATAATCTGTTTCAAAATATTTAAATCTTTTACAAGGTAGAAGCTGATTACATGCACTTGACAGAAAATGATCATGTGTTGGACAAGTCAAAGAAGTTCCTCCAGTCTTTCAGAGAAATGACAGTTGATGAAAGAATGGTGTCCACAAAGTAAAAGTGCTCTGGACTTCAACATTTTGTGGAAGATTAAATCAGTCTGATTTAGAATTCAGCTTGCAATATTTCCGGAATTGTATATTTGGATAAAAACATCACTTTTCTACTTCCTGACTACCGGTAAACAGTTTTGCGTTTAATATTGCCAATGCCATCTATTATTATTTTTCCCTCCAAGATGACGTCAAGTCTTTATTGTACCCCTTAAGCACTGTTTCCAGAAAAATCTTGAAATGAAATCAATTAGTTTATTTTTCTTGTTAAATTTAAAGTCGGGGAAAAAATCCACGAAAATAAAGGTTATTTTTAATGGCATCAAGAAAATGGATTTGTTTTTGTTTAACAGAAAGATACTATACATGTTGTAGTTACTGTTATGTAATTTTTACATCGCTGTTCAGCCACACCTTTTTGTCATTTTTGCCACACCTTTATTAGCCACATCTTTCAGGAAATGTATAGGACCTGTGGGTCTGTCAATTTAATTTGCTAGTAAATATGCATATAAATTTGAACAAAATTGCGCTGGTGGAAAGTACTGTTTTTTTTTTAATTTACTTGATATTGTGGATGTGATTTTTTTAAATTAGAACACAAGAAACCCTGTTTGCAAATTGTACTTCAAGTTTTTGACATTTTTTTTAATTACTTGCATTGTCAATTTATTATTGCCTTAAAAGACCAAGTCAAGTGTTTCTCATCAAACATGGCTAGTGAATGCAGTCTTCACCAGCGAAGGGATTTGCTATTCTTCTAACAAACCCTTGGTCTATCTTGCTATCAAAAGTCAGGATTTTTTTTCACAGGTTGTGATTGGAGTTTATTGACATCATTTGACTAATCAGCAAGTGCTATAGTAAATGACAATATCTTCATTCAGGATATTTCTTGACTCTATAGTCTTTGTAATAAAAAACTTTGTAAACAATGATTCATAAGACAACATTCCATTCTTTAAATTGCTATGGCATATCATCCAAAGTGAAGATTATGTGCACATAATGTAATGTGGAACATACATTTTGTATATTGCAGAAAAAGACTTGCAACTTACTAACAAATAACCTATCTGCTTGTTAGTTATTCTTCAGATACTTCACTTTTTATAAATGCTCTTTATTTCTAGGAATGATGCAAGCTGTGATTCGAGATCAGATGACATAAACAATCCTGACTTTTGATAGCTTGATAGGCTAAGGGTTAGCGAGAAGAGTAGCAGATCAGAATCCTTTGCTTGCAAAGATGAGCAAATGCATGTCACGTAAATAAAATGAATGAAAGGATTGTAATGCAAAAGCCACTTATTTGAAAAAGAGATTCCAAGTTACATCCATTGTCCATCTCATGAGGTTTCTTCATGCTTATCATATTACCATATGATATTTACTATATTATTTTAGTAATGTGTGTCACTAAGGTTGAATTATATGCAATTGCATCTTACAAATTTTATTTCAGTTCACATGTTTTAGATGTATTTTTGGAATGGCATCCAAGATATGCAAAATAAAAAGAGATTAATTCATTTTTTCAAATTTTATCTCAGAATTTTGTTGTTCACAACTTTTTCAGAAATATATATATATATATATATATATATATATATATATATATATATATATATATATATATATATATTTGTTGTTCATCAACTATTAGAGGATATATCCATAATGATTGCAGCATTTCAAAATTGATGTATACTTGCAATTTAAGGCAGAATTCTGTACTGATCTGACCTTGACCCCACTAAGAACAAAAGTGTCAAGGTCAATCTTAATTTTATGATGTTCTTTACATTCATTTCTTCTTTTGGTCCATATCTTACTTACAATATCATGGAATACACACAAAGTGTCTAGAATGAGCAATAACAAACACACAATGTATACAGTCAAAAAATTGAAAATGTTGTTGTGGTTCAGGAGAAGAAGATGAAATTGTATTAAGTTTACGACGATGACGACAAAAACGAGAAAGACAGACAGTGGACAAATTTTGATCAGAAAAGCTCACTTGAGCCTTCGGCTCAGATGAGTTTAATTACTTTGGACCCATCTTCCTGAAATATTCAATTTTTTTAAATATGTTTTCTTAAATTCCAAGAGAGGGAGTCTGGACCCCCCTATAGTTCCGTGCACGGAATTTTTCCTACATATGAACACACAACCATGTAAAACTTTAAACCCCTATTCCACCTCCAACCTTATTCTGGGGGCGATGATTTGAAAAAAAAACTGCATCTACCTTACCTGAGGATGCTTACATATCACTGACTCATCATGACCCAGTAATTCATCAATTATCATTATATCTCTCGAAAATGTTTCCTAAATAGTCCTATGTAAATCTTTGATCCCCTATTGTGACCCTCTCCTACCCAAGGGGACTGGGATTTGAACAAACTTCTATGTCTTACACTGCCTGATGACGCCTCCATATAAAAACGAATAATCGTGGCACTGCAAAAGTTCATCAAAGTTTTAAATAAGTCTTCCTATATATGTTCAAATGTGAGCTATGATCCCCCTTGCCTCTTCCTAACCCCCTAGGGACCATGATTTGCATACATTTTAATCTATCCTATGTCAGAAAGCTTCCCTATACGAATCACCTTCTCTGGCCAAATTGTTTTTAAAGACGTCACCTTTTATTAACTCTTAATTATCTCTCCTTGAAAGAAGCCATGGTTCTCTATTTGAACAACCTTGTATTCCCTTCTTCAAAAGACTTTTAATTTATACAAGCTGGCCCTGGAAGTGTCTTTTGAGTAGAAAAAGTTAAAAGTTTTCAGGACAAAAATGTCACCTTTGAGTTCAGTTGAGCTAAAAAGCACTCAGAACAGTAACGTTATACTTTATTTGATTTCTGAATGAAAGATACGTGAAAACACTAAATTATAAAATCTAACTACTGTACAGGTCCCAAACGTAATCAGCTTAGTACATTTACGTTCCGATATACACCCCTTGACATTCAATAAGGCTAGGCAGGTACTTTTGCTGTTTATTAAGTATAGAGATAAGTTAGTCTGCCGCTTTTTTGTAGCATAATCAAATCTTCTAATATAATGCAATACTATCTTTTGTTCTTTTTTTTTCATTACATAAACAAAGTTGAAACTTTTTAGATGATAAAAACTTGGACTTAAATTTTTAACTCCTATTCAAGCAATTGGAGCCTTTTTACAATAGCGTACACATCATTGATTTGTTTCATTGACTGTCTTCATATTTCTAAGAGTTATTTTTTTCCACAAAAATGTACCATCCATATGACCTTTTTAATAAAATGCTAGAGATAATTACCCAAAAATATATTAAATTTTTATATATAAATTTCTCTAATAATAAAGTTAATCCACTCATGTGGTATGACAAAATTGTTCCATAAAAATTGCAGTTTTTACCTCATTCTGTCAGTGGTATGAAACCTTATTATAATTAGTCTATGGAATGTCCAAATATTTACCTGGGTTTAAAATGACGCAGGGGAATCTTGTCATAAACAGAGAATGAGAAAGGGAGACAAACAAGAACACGTGGAAAATGCAAATGGGTCACTTATGGTAGGGGGGTGATAACAGACAAAACCATGCAAAAGAAATAACACGACTCACCTCAAGTCTTATGTTTAGGACAAAACCATTTTTTTCCTCAACTTTCTAACTGCCTTATATCTATTTTTGCTGTTGTATCCCATTGGTTCTGTTGCTTTAATCCTATAAATAAAAAATCAGAAGGTCAAAGTGAATTCTAGACTAGGTCATATGAAAATCAGAGTGTACAATTAAGAAGCTGAGCATGAAGCTTACCATATCTTCCAATATTGGTCACAGTTGACTGGGGAGACTCCTGTTCAATACTGCGTCAAGAAAAACCAAACATCCCTTCTACTAAGACAGGAAAACAAGAAGTCAAAGTACTTTGTCTAATTGTCAGGGTGCAACAAAAATAGGAAAGAGTGAACAAGTACAAACACTGATATCCTATTGTGCAGATTAGCCTTTGTGCAGATTAGCCCAAGTTTACCCCTCCCATCAGGACTCTTCATTTAGCTAACAGGCTGCTTTGAATTTGAAAATGTAAGTTAGATAAATTAGAACAAGACAATGTCATCGAAATCTAGAGTTACAGTGAGCGACTTCAAAAACAAAATCCTTCCATATCTCCCTTAATTTTTTTAATGCCTTTTTACAATTTATTTGTAAATGTGATTTTGAACTTACCAAAATGACTTTGGTTTCACAAAAAAGGACACATCCTCTGGTAGGTAACGTAATAAGTTAATCTTTCAGTGAAAAATAGTCATCCAGTATTTCTCCATTTCACAGTGCCCTTTTGTCACAATAACCTTGGGTCAAGATTATGCACACCTCAGGTCATAAACAATCTTTGAACCAAGTATGAGCCTCTAATGATTCTGTATTGCAAGTGGACAAGAATTTTATATTTTTCGACTTTTCATCATACAGCTTAAACCTGCCAGAATAATCTTGCGGCAAGGACATTACATACCCTCGGGTGATAAATACGCTTTGTATTAAGGAAGAGTCTTTAATGATTATCCATTACAACGCTATAGCCTGGAAAAGAATTTTATACTTTTTCTGCTATTATATTACAACGTTATAGCCTTGAAAACCTTTAATACTATTTCTGCCAGTATCCTTCAACTTGTTAGAATGACTTTGAACCAAGGTTCAGACACCCCCTGAGGTTATAAACAATTTTGTACATGTACCAAGTATGAGCTTCCTAGGATTCTACATTATAAGTTTTTAACTTGGACAGAACTACAGACATATGGACAAGGTGATTCCTAACCCCCCCCCCCCCTTCCAGAACTTCAGGCCAGCCTAAACCTTTGCCTGTAATCACAGAATGTAGAGAGCCAACAAAAAGTACTCAGACTTTGTGTAACTAAATTTCATCTCTGAGAATGAAAGGAATAAAGTTGGTGACTTACACTGTACCCTCACTTGTAGATTAGGCAATGATCAATCTCTTCCTCTCACATGAGTTGCTCTTGAATATAAAATTGGAACTCTAGCCCTCGGCCTGTCCACTAAGAATTTGGGGAGGTATTTAAGAAAGGTACAAGTGAGAATGAGTGAAGTCAATATCTTGGATTGTAGCTATTGTCTTACCATCATTTACAGGGTTTGTTATAATCAATCCTGGTTCTCTGGAATCTTTCTTGCAAGAAATTAACTATTTATAAACTCGTGACAGAAAACTGTTTATCCCTTTTATAGTAAGAGAGAGATATGATATCAAAAGAGGTTTCAATTTGCATCAAGTGTGGAGGAGTACAAAAAATGGGGTCAGTGCAGAGAGAAAAAAAAATGCATCTCTTCCGACTTCCACATTTGGCTTCAACTGATCCCTGCTCTTTGAACTCTTGATGAGTGATACAGTTATTACAAAGACAGAAGGAGAGTTTGCAAAACCATTATTCAAGATATGTTAATAGAGAGAGTTTTTAAAATACGCGGGTATGTTAAGGCTACACCCAGAGATATCCTACTTGCCTTTACAATATGACGTCATAGTAAGCTGTATGACGTGAACTTTAGAAATAATGATTTCTGAATTTCTATATTTAAGAAATAAATAACAAGTTTAAAAACTACTCTGGGAAATGAAGTGGGTCGGTCACGTGATCAAATCCTGTGAAGGCCGAAGGCCTTCTCAGAAGATTTGATCACATGCCGACCCACTTCATTTCCCAGTGAAGTTTTTAAACTTGTTATTTATTACTTATATATGCATTTGAGACGGACAATCGAATATAAATATTGCACTAACTGTTCGTCGTAGATTTTGACAAATTACGCAAGGTGTAAATCGGCTTGAAAAGCGGTTGCGCTTCAAATTCATCTGGCAAAGGATTCTGTTTTGAAGGAAATATTCTGTGAAAGGCTACTTGTGATCAATTATAGTGAGCATATTGGTGTCTGGGAATTTTTGTATTCGTGAGAACCCATATTCGATGTTAAAAAACACACACAAGAAACACGTCCGATGTTTGATAATAAAAAGTTAGAGGAATTTCGGTCGGAAAGGGATGGATGGAGACACTTGTCCGGACCAGTTAACTTGGAATCAAGATTAAAATTTGATCAGAAACATAAAATCTACGATTTCAATAAGGCATATTTATTATGATGTTGACACGGAGACACAAGCGACAGCTTACATTGTTAAGACATCAATCTCGATGATGGAGGTGTGCCTACCGAACTTCCGAAGTGCAGTGTTTGTCAGCTGTTTGCGGCGTGATTGCATTACATTGATATTTTCCAACAGATTTTCAAATTTATTGTGAGTAAAGTGTAATGAAAAAAAAATACAGCATTCAGAGGTCTATGAGAAAAATAAGGATAAACGTTGAGACTATGCGGCGCAGACATGAAATTTATAACACGTAGTTTTCTATTCTCCATGTAAAATCGATCAAGAACTGTATTAATTACTCGTTTACATTGTAAATAAAATGATTTTTATTTTACTTGGGTATTTTTTACATTTTTGTGCATGAAAAACATGCTATATTGATAAGTAGAATAAGTCTTTTTATGTAGATATTACTGCGCTGTGTGATTAGGTCACGTAATGACCTATGACCTTCGAAAAACTTCATACAGGTATGAAGATATTTGCTCTCTGTATGTTTATATCATAGAGAGATACCACAAATGTATATATTTAAAGTTTAATTTCAGGTCCAAGAAATGAATGGAATCATTCAAAACATAATATAAACTAAATCTTGTCTTTTTTGGGTGGTATAAATAGCCTGATTATTTAGCACGGGGGTTAAATACCAAACCCATGACGTCATAACTAGTGATCAAATATTTGCCGAATGAAATTAAAGGTGACGAGAATTCATGTAAACAAATATATGAAATGTGAGTTTTAAAGCATATACCGTGAATGCTATGTGTGATTCATAAGGATTTAAAGATTAAGAATCAGGTACGCTGACATATTCTGATCATGTTTTCTTAAAACGAACACAGGCAGTGCTTTGAAATCCCGATCAGCCTTTCCTCTGTCGTTCTATAACAACAAAGATGCAAAAGTTCAACACTACGCCGCATACTTTGAAACATAATTTTTGTTTGTATCGAAAGCTTGTATTCAATAGTACTTGGAAAGTGCTGCTAGAATCGTGTGGTTAACATGAATAAATAACAATTCCTTGATCGTATGTATAAAATGCAAAAATTTTGGTAAGGTTCCATGCGAAATTTCGGAATATTTTTTTCTGTGTCGGGAGAATAGGATTCTAGCAGCACTTTTCATGACCCAATGATGTTTTTACATAATCATTTTCACTCAAAGAAATGAATTATTTCCGGGGTAGTGTTGAACTTTTCACTTTTTTATTAAGGCAATTTTTCTATTTATAGACGTCACGTGATGACGTCGTGGTGGAGTCCTTCTTTTAGCCTAAGACTCAATGACGCCTATACAACTGATAATAATAGTTTTATCTATGGCTTTTCACTATATTATTAAATAAATAAAGCTCCCCCCCCCCTTACACCAGAACATCTTACCCAGGGGCCATGAACTGACAATTCTGGAAGAAGCACCTTGCTCATCATAACTATACACTTGTTTCTTTCCTTTATTACCAGTAGTAGAAAAAAAATTGAAAGAAATTATGCATTTTCCCTATATAATCAATAGAGCCCCCCCCCCCTTCACCAGAACCCCTGACCCAGGGGCCATGAATTTCACAATTTTGGAAGAAGCATTCTTCCTTGCACTTCCTTTGTTTGAATAATTCCCATTAGCAGAAAGAATTTATGCATTTTCCATATATAACAAATAGAGCCCCGCCCTAACACCAGAACCCTTGACCCAGGGCCACGAAATTCACAATTTCTGAAAAGGCAGCCACGCTCATCATAACTATGTACTTAGTTTATTTGATATCCAGGAGAGAGAAGAAGATTTTCAAAGAAATAATGCATTTTCACTCAATTGAGCCCCACCCTAACACCAGAACCCCTGACCCAGGGGCCATGAAATTCCCAATTTTGGAAGAAGCAACCATGCTCATCATAACTATGCACTACGTTAGTTTATTTAATACCCAGGAGCAGAAAAGAAGATTTTCAAAGAATTAATGCAATTTTACTATATAATCAATAGAGCCCCGCCCTAATACCTGAACCCCTGACCCTGAGGCCATGACATTTACAATTTCTGAAAAAACAGCATGCTCATCAAATCTATGTTCTTAGTTAGTTTATTTAATATCCAGGAGCAGAGAAGAAGATTTTCAAAGAATTAATGCATTTTCACTAAACAACCAATAGAGCCCCGCCCTAACACCAGAACCCCTGACCCTGGGGCCATGAAATTCACAATTTTGGAAAAAGCACTCTTGCTCATCATAACTATGTACTTAGTTACTTTATTTTATACCCAGGAGCAGAGAAGAAGATTTTCAAAGAATTAATGCATTATCACTGTATGATCTACATAGCCCCACCCTTTGCAACAGAACCCCTAACCCTGGGGTCATGAATTTCACATTCTTGTAGAGGGCTCAATGCTTATTACAATCATGCCAACAATGTGACTGCTTGATGTCCAGAAGTAAAGAAGAAGATTTTTAAAGATTCCATTATTTTTTATGGTTTTAACCCCACCCCTCAGGCCGAAGGGGGGGGGGGCAGGATCATGAAATTCACAATGTTTTTTTCCTTTCACCCATAGATGCTATATGCCAAATTTGGTTGAAATTGGTAAAGTGGTTTCAGAAAAGAAGCTAAAAATATTCAAATGTTAACACACAACGCACGACGCACGCCGACGGACGAAAACGGATAGCAATAGGTCACCTGAGTGGCTCAGGTGGCCTAAAAATGTCAGGTGCGAGTACTAGTAAGTTCGCCGTAGAATTCTCGTTGTGCATTTGAAAGATGCCAAATAAACTTGATGTTTGTCTTGATTGAAAACAAAAAGCAACAGAGAAAAAATGCTTGCGAGTGCAAAAATAATGAAACTTTATATGATAAAGAACTCACCAAGTATCAAATAAATAATAAAGGATCTATGATCTTTAACGAACCTTTTTGATTGAGGAAAACAGAAGCGGGGAGTTTGAAAACTTTCTAAACGTGAACTTCACGATCTCCGATTTTCTTCCTGACATCCTAAATCAATAGGACATTAGTATAATAAAATGAATAATGCATATTTTAAGGGCAACAGTTAAAAATTATTTTCATTCACTTTTCTAACTAAAGGCACACTTGCATTAAGATTTACAGTAATACATTTATTATCAAAGCTCAAATCATTCTTGTATAATTATCATATATATAATTCATCAAGTCACATAAATTTGAAACTAATTTGTTAAAGACATACATTTATATCTAGCAATTTATTTATTTCAAAAAGATAAACTAGCTTACCTTTATGTGTGACAATTAAAATTTGCCTTCTCTGATACCTGGACAGAAGAGTATATACACTCGGCTTTTACAATCCCTCTAATGGTTGGTCTTCAGAAAACTCAAAATGTTGGATTTGTTAATCCTAAAAAAGTCAAACTCAAATATACCCTTGAATGATGTTTCTTAATTATAAGCACAGTAGGTTCATTGTTTCCTAATGCGTCCAAATGTTTTCTAATGATCCAAAGCATCAAATCGGGTGCAAAAATATACTAAGTCTAACAATATTAAAAATTTCTACAAGAAATAGTCCAAAGAAAAAAAATCGAAGTAGAAAAGGTATATGATACATTTTTATTGAAAATGTACACGTGCTGATACTCTGGATCTTTCTCACGTGATAATGACGATCATATGTATCACAATAAATGTGAAGTGCAGGAAAAATGCATTGTGTCATTTGCAACTGTATTGTATTTTTTTAAAGCATTTTTTCTAGACCTAATCCCACATCTGGAACTTCTCGGGGTCCGTGTTTATGCCCTTTTCACAAATTTGTATTGTTTTAAAGTTTTTTTTCTAGGGGTCCGTGTTTATGATCTCTTCACAAATTTGTATTGTTTAAAGATTTTTTTAGATCGATCACTGTTCTTTCTTTTCACCTTTTTCATACTAAAACATTTTACAATTTAGTAATTAGTTTATACACTGTAATTCATATCCGGAAACTTATTACTTTTTGTGTTTATATCTCACGCACGACCTTGTTGGGGAGCAGTTCATGTAACAGCTTTTTATAAAATCACAAATTAATAAAAATTTGATGAGAAATGAAAATCAATTTAAAACATAACAACAACTACTTAGATTTAGTATTAAACAAATTTTAAAATCTTTTATTCGTATTTTTTTATGTTATCAATATGGAATTTTACATATTGGTTATTGGTGTATAAATCACACAGACTTGCACGTAGGCATATTTTTCAAGAAGCGCTAGCGCGCTTCATGAAATGTGCTTACGTGACAAGTCTATGTGATTTACACACTAATAACTCACACAAAACTTAAAAGCATTCCCTAAGGGGAAGCATATTTTGTATATTTCTAAATTAGTATGTCCCACATATCATAAAACAGCTATATCATTAGGTTTCTTATCTTATTTTAGAGATATTGATTGACAAATACTATGCCCTACAGTGCCTAAGTGGAATTTTGATTTTTTTATGTTTCCGGGCACATTACCCTGTCCTTAATGGGATTTGTAAGTATAGATAAAAAAAAATATGTCAGTGGACATGAATCTTTTTAAATATTTCAGAGTATGAATAGGGTTTAAAATTCGAAAAAGTAAGTTTCTTCTATACAACATAAACAACAAAAACTTAATTTGCAAAAAAGTATATCATTCAATATTTTAAATTTACGTTGAAATGCAAGTCCTTCATTTTCTTGATTAACTGTAAAAATTTTGAATGGTGAAGCTGACCTCAATATTGCACAGGACATCCTTAAACAAGACATGTATATGTATGACAAAAACGTGTCATGTTTACATTTCTTAAGTACGGGAAAACTATGACGTCACACATAAGCTAAGTAAGCGAAATAAGATATATACCTAAATAAGATTTCCGTCATCAGCCATGCAAAAATAATATGTGTTCCCCGTTTCTCAAAATATCTCATCATATACTGGTTATGACCTGTTTAAAGTGTAATATTTTTCATTACAGCAGAATTGTATAACTTAAACTCATTGTTTCATAAATGTTTAATATATTATGCCAATGAACGTGAGTCTTAGGTTTTAACGGAAATAAACTTGTGCAATCATTTCTTTTCTCCCTTCATGCTTGTCTTATTTATCCTTTGGTAAAAAATATTTAAAGAAGTACTTCTGGTATCTGTAGCTTTCACATTGTATTTATATTTAATGTTTATATTATTCAGATCCAGAGACTAAGGAATCTATTTTCAAACTCATTTTTGACATTCAGTCTGAGTCGCCTTCAGAATCACTGGCCACAACTGCCACAACTGCACAGAACTTTCAATCACCTGCCATGCAAATGCAACAACCTGAGTCAGATCCTGAATCACCTACTGCAAATGCACAAGTACCATCTGTCATTTCATTGCCACAGACAGTTCCTATGGAAGATGGTGATCAAAAAGTACATTTTGGCTTTAATTATAACTTGGATGACGGAGACAAAATTCTGAACTGTTATGCCCCCAAACTCTTACAGATATATTATTCTGAATCATCTGAATCAGGGTCTTTTCCATCGTCATGCTTGGCTTCAACAAGATGTTTTACATCATCTTCATTCACTCCATCTTCTCCTTGTCTATGTACAGAAAATAACTTGATTCAAGTGGGCCCTAAAACATTTCTCACCCCAGAAGAGTTTCAATCAAATATTAATTTGAAATTAAAAGACTACAATAGCTATGGAAAGAGGAACACGAGAAAAAAATAGGAAGAAATCTAAATCTTGTAAGCGTATATATATATATATATATATATATATATATATATATATATATATATATATATATATATATATATATATATATATATATATATATATATATATATATATATATATATATATATATATATATATATATATATATATATATATATATATATATATATATATATATATATATATATATATATAGCTAAATATTTAATTAAAGCGTGTTTATACGTTTAACAGTTAAAAGTAGAAAAAATCTAGGGCTAATTCAGACACATTTAAAATTAATAAGCTGTGTATTTTCTTCAATCAATTAACTTTTACATCAGATTCTTTACATTGACTTGCAATAGTGTATAGTCTACATAGACATCAGAGCAGATTCATTACATGTACCACTGTTTATATGAAATGCTCTTTTTAATAGCATAACTGATATTACATTTATAGGAAAAATTTAATTCACAAAGAACTCTTTTCAGGTTCACATATGGGACGAAACTGAAGAAAGACAACTGATTTCCCAAAGAACAAATATAGATGAAGCCTTCCATAAAAATAAAAACCATGACACATTATGGCAAAAAATTTTTGAAAACATGAATGCTGAAGGAATTAAGGTTTCTAAGCTACAAATACTTAATAAATATAGAAATATAAAAAGAAAATACAAAGAAACTATCGACTTAAATAAGCAAACTGGAAACGAGAAGCACGAATTTAAATACCAAAGAGAATTTGATAACTTGTTCGACCACAAGGCATCCACAAAAGCAACAGTGTCATTTGACAGTGGTGTACCGGTAAATGCAGCAGAAAAAAAAGAAAGAGAATGATAAAAAAAAAAGTCAACCTAAAAAGCGCTCTGCTGAAAGCATGATTATGAAAATGGAAATTATGCATAGAGACATGAGTGAACAAATTCAAAGGCACCAAGAAGAAAAGCTGCGAAGGTTTGACAGACTAATCGATATTTTCGAGAGATCTGTTGATCAAAACTAAACTGTATAGTGTCCTAAAATTGCCTACATATTTGGCTCAATCGAATTGAAAGTTTTGATTGCCTGCCTTCTTTTTTTTTTTTTTTTTTTTTTTTTGTATTTTTACAAGTAGTAAAGGATAAACTTTAATCTGTTAAAGATAAACAACCTTTGTTAGTTTGAACTTAGTTAGTGAATCGTGTATTGTTATTTCCTGCAGTCGCCGAAACCGTTGTTTTAGATGACCAATAGCCCTCTCTACTACTTGTCGAGCAGATGACAAAACTCGATTAAACCTCCTCTGATTTACATTTAAGCGACCATTGTCTTTAAATGGAGTGATTAACCAGGCTTTTAAGGGATATGCACTGTCTGCTATTATATACTTGTTCACGTCAAAGTACTGTCCAGCTGTAGCATTGGTAAAAAGACTTGAATTTCGTAGTACGCGAGCATCGTGGGTTGATCTTGGCCAACCTGTGTATATGTCCCTCAACATTAAATCAGCGTCTACTACTACCTGTAATTAAAATATAAATATATATATATTTTTAGTATGTGTTATTTATTAACAAAGTAATAAATAACACAATATCATCTATCATCACCTGGAGTTGTATCGAGGGGTATTGTTTCCTGTTAATTTAGTCACTATCTCCACCAATACAAGAAGATAATCTGATGTGCGTCCCATCCAGAGCACCAATTATGTCTGGAAGCCCAGATTGAAGCTGAAAGTGCTGTGCAATTCTCTGTTGCTCAATAAAATTAGGCCATTGGATAATCTACAAAAAAATGATTTTTGAGGAGAGTTATATACATGTAGAGATGTAGGTGTGTGATCTTGGCTTAAGAAGGCAAAAAAGGCTTATTTGGGGAGAACACATGGCTCAAGACTTCTGGGTCAAAATCAGATTTTTTTTTTCATATGTACACATGGCCTTGTACTTTAGAAATCACAAGTATAAAACGACCTGCTAAGGGTGATCTATTGCAATGATGTCAAGACATTGAAAGAAGGTAGATCAGAGCACAGAATTGTTTTGAACTAAGCTTTGGTCCCTCTCACATGAATACATGCATCTACCGTATATACTCGCCTATAAGTCGGTTTTTGGGAGTTGTATTTTGGACCAAAACTCTTTGTCCGACTTAAAGGCGAGTTATAAAATGACTTGTATTTTAGAGGGTCTATCCCTTTAATAAAAGCTTAAAAAATACGACCGACTTATATGCGGACCGACTTATAGGCGAGTATATACGGTACATTCCCATTACATGCATTAAACACAGGAACCTAAGATTTTTCCAATTATTTGCTAAAAGCCCCAGATCAAAAGATTCAAATTCCTTCTGCCCCTAAAATTTTAGCAATAAGCAATAAGTTAATCCGCTAGATAAAAAAATGCAGCATCTATGTATATGCCTTATTGTGGGGGGGGGGGGGGGGTGAAACTTACTGAAAAAATTCAGGTGCCTATCTTTTATAATACCTTTGATAGGTTTTTATCCAATTTGGGTTAAATTTAGACCGATGACGTCAGTTAACCATGTACAATAGTTCCAAGTGAAGTCGCCCCGAGTATGATCTTGCCGTACTAGCAGATCATGTATGACGTCACCGACTTGCTGGACACGTAGTGTAGGGAAAGAGAGGAGTGGAACAACATATTCCGTAATTTGTTAATGTTTACAAGAATGTTAACAATTTCATTTATTTTGTATAAGACGGTAATTAAAGTAAAACAAATTATCAAAAATTTAAAAAAGAAATGATGGTTTACACGTTTTGCACTTTCATAAACGGAGACTATATGACGTAGTTAACAGAGTCATGTGATCATGTGTCCTTCATCCCCTTAAGTAACCTCAAATAATTTGGGCGCTCCTGTGGCCGATAATGACCATTGAAAAGCTAGTATTAGCAGGATTCTCGCATTGCATGGTGAGTGGACATATTAAATATGCCCAAGGGCAACAAAGAAATTATGTCAGCAAATTTAAAGAATGAACCTTATTCACTGATTATCACCAATGTGTTATGATTGCAAGAATTTGATTCTAGCATTGTAATCAGAAAATTAATCAAAAAGTAATCATGATTACAGAGATTTTTTTAGATTATTCGATTAAATTACGATTACTTGTAATAAAAAAAAAGATTGGTTACCTGTAATCAATTAAAGCTGATAACGATTACCCCATCCCTGGCCTTAACATACTGTACCTTAAAATGGGGGAAAGTTAAAAAGTCCAGAAGCTATGAATGTACAGTAAATTTGAAATTTTTCGTGAAAAATATTAAACAATACCCTTCATATGATCAATGAATAAAGGATTTTAAAAAGGGGATTTATGTACTACTCAGAAGCAGGGAATTATGACAAATGCACCAAAATGAGAAAAAAGATGTAAAAGGTGATCAAAAAGAGTGATCCATTTTATGTATACCGTAGACAAGAGGAACCTGTGCACAGGGCAGAAACATGGACCCCTGGAAACACCAGAGGTGGGATCAGGTGTCTAAAAGGAGTAAGCATCCCCTGTGACCGGTCACACACGCAGTGAGCCCTATATATAATGACCTGGTACAGTATTTCGTAGTCTTTGGTATAAAAGCAATGACTTTACAAATGGTATATAACGTCAGACAAAATACGATCTAACGATAAACTTTATTTACAAACAAGGTCAACATATTGACTTATTTTTAAATAACAAACAAGCAGTCAAATAGGATAAAAAATCTTTTTTTCTTTATGACAAATTGAAAGATTTTCTTAAGAATATTTTCCTTGACAAAAATACACGCAGTTTTCAAGTGTACAGCCATGAAGTAAATAATCCAGATTTAATTTTCATAAATTTTAAAATTGGATGGGCTTTCTTCAGCAAACTTCTATGTCTCCATATTATAAATGTTATGTAAAGAGAAAAATACATACCCTTTAATCATATCAAGTAAAAGCTCGAGACACCAATATCAGACCGAGGGCCGAGGGCCTGTGACAAGGCCTTTCTTTTCTTATCAACATTTCTTACTTCTTTATTTATAGTTTAACAATCTTATGAAAATTTTTATCCTTGGCCATGAGCTGTCATACGGGGCATCTGTGTTTAACAAACACATCTTGTATTTCTTGTAAATTTAATATTTGATATTAACTTGCCAACGTTTTGCCCACTAATCCAACGTTGCATGTAAATTACTTGTATCTGTTTGAAGAATGAACTATATCATTGTCTACACCTATCGTAAGGGATCACTCAAACAAAGACCACACTTTGTTATCGATTCACAAATGATTTAAAACCGACTTTTAAAAAAAAAGGACCCGAAATTCATTCTAACAACTTTGAATTTGAAGCCCTTATCAATGGCAGAACCTGTCAGATCTTTTCGATATGTCAGAGAACATGATCCTAACGTCTTTGTCCCTATCAGGAATTGATACAGTGTATGAATATGATATATTTCAATAAGCTTGTCACTGTTTGAGTCACCTGGTTTGGATCCAGACTGAAACTTACATAAAATTTTCTTTTAATAATATAATAATATATTCGAGTAGGTGCTTAACAAAACATATTTCTAAAAATTCATAAACAACAGATGCTATTGAGCTATTGATATACGTCTGTAATATTTTACAACACATGTATTACCTTTATTTTCATAAACAAATGTAATGTGGGTAGTTTTTTAAGTGTCAGAAAGCTACAGTTACTAAGGATTGTGTTGAATAATTTTTTTGAAAGGTGTTATAGATTCTTTGTGCGACAGGTTTTAAAATTTTATTAGACGCAATTGCATGAGAATTTGCTGTCTCACTCCTCTAATGATTTTCTATTGGTCGAATAATTCTTTATGTAATAATAAATAACTCTTCATGTTTTGATGCGATATCTGGTCTCTAAGATAGGAGGTCTGGTTGACTATGAGTGCATGAAAAAATTGTATGGAAATAACTTTGTCTAAAGAATGAAATTACGTATGATCAGCTCATCATCGGAAGGGTTTTAGTTAAGGTTTACATTGTTATTTAATTTGGTTTATTTTTCAACTTTTCTCCACCACGTATATGGACTCGGTGGTCTGAGAAAAAAGAAGTTAATAGAAAACTAACAATTCATTTTGCGAAAAACACATTGAAGTACAAAAAAAAAAAAAACAGATGAAATAAAATCAACAAATTCAATTGCAAAATTAACAGACTCCGTTGCAAAACGAACGATCACCATTGCAAAACCAATAGCCATTTAATGAATTGACTCTAGATTCAGAATGCAGTCAGAATCTGGATTAACGTTAGATCGGACGAAAGTCTTTAAATTAATTTTATGACATGAACAGTCAAAAAAAAGTGGCTGAAGAGTCAAGTTTATTAAGTTTCATTGATATCATATGGAATCCCACAGCTGTCTAAAGGTATGGTACATCATAACATTGTGTGTTCTCAATCGCATCTTCTCGAGTCTTTCCGACAAACTCAGAAAAACATTTGGAATATATTTAAATCACCGTGTGTTAAAATTGTACAAAAAGAAGTCGATTCCTATTTATTAAATTTTTGGATAGCCAGAGTTTAGTTCCCTGCTGAAGTATATTTAAGGCAACATCTTTATAGTTAATCAATTTAAGTTCCAGTCTACACAAACAAAAGGTACTCCTGCAAATACTTCAACGTTTTTGAAAAGGGGGTTGTTATGGACGCTTACGTAAGATATTCGAGGTTGTTTTTCTGTTTGCCGGAAAGGCCTGAGAAGTTGCGATTGGGTTTGTTCTATATAATGAATGGCCGGTTCAGCATATCAAATGGTCACCACTTCATGTTAAAGGGTGAAAAGTACAAAATAAATGATGTGTAACATATAATACAGGGTCTGTTCTGTCTACTGAATGGCTACCACTCCTTGTTACTGGAAGAAAGTAAATAATAAATGGTTTGTTCAATAAATAAGTAAATACCTTTAAAAAAAATAATAAATACCTTAAGACAGCTGTGGCGTTCCATAATTTCAGACATGAACAGTGGGTCAAGAGTTAAATTAACTTGTCTGCGTGAAAAAAAAATCATTGATTTCAGACATAAACAGTTCAAGAATAAGATGCTGAATAGCCAATGAGAAATGTTGGAAACAAGTACTTGTGATAAGTGCGCTTTGCAGTTCCCTTTCTCCATTTTACCTGACTGTCTATCTGGACATCTGGTTGTGGTGGTGCTCTTTTCGTATATACATGTACAAATACGTAGTCCAAAATATCTGACGTTTTCCAGGCTTTTTTTACGATCTTGATGTTTTACGTGCCAGGAAAACGTCAGAACCGGTGCCATTACGAAAACTGGAAATTTCACCCTCTCCAATCGGAGCTGATTTTCGATACTAGCGAAACGAACTAAATGCCGAACTCACAACTTATCAATAGCACAATGCTTCTATTACTCACCAATATCGATGAAAAGAAAATATCACTCCACATTTCAATACAGGACTTGCAAGATTTTAAAATGCAAGATATGAAAACAAAACTCGATAGTCTGATATAATGTTTTCACCGGGCTGTAAATTTTATCAACAAACCATAAAAACGATGTTGGTGAGTACTAAAAGTATTGTACTATTGATAAGTTGTGAGTTTGACATTTAGTTCGGTTCACAAGTATCGAAAATCAACCCGAGAATGCAGTCTCCGGTTGGAGGCGGCGAATTCCCGGTTTTCGTAATGGCGCCGGTTCTATCGTTTTCCTGGCACGTAAAATATCAGATCGTTAAAAAAGCCAGGAAAACGTAAGATATTTCGGACTAACAAATACGTAGCCCCTTGACAAATTGATTTAGACGTTATGTTTGTGTAGATCTATGCAAACTGGTTTCTGTTTCTTTCTGTACCCCAACATAGCCCTAAATACATAAAAAAATATTAAAATATAATAAATGCATTTGATCTTGAATAATTTTATATATATATATATATATATATACGAGGGGTGATCAAAAAGTTCGCGAACTTTCTCTATATTTACAAAACCACAATTCCGATCAAAATGAAATTTGGCATATATATATTCATGAATGAACATGTTCTATAAATAGCAGATGGTATGTAAGGTTTTTCTCCATGTTTGTGACGTCAGAATGTGAAAATGACGTCGATATGTCGATTTTCTTGTATGTCGATGACTTGTGACGAAAAATGGTGGACTCAGTCGTACTCTAGCAACGCACGGCTGTAAAGTTTAGCGTATATCTTGGAAATTCCTTTGCAGTAATATATAATATATAATATATAAGGACAAAAGACTTGCCAAAAATTCAATCATTAATTGGATTGATCGTTTTAGTGAAGGAAGGGAGATGGTTTAAAATGATGTTTGTTTTGTTGCCCAATGAAAGCAAGCTGGGGAAGAGATGTGTCTTTAGTTGAGCAATTTGTTATGAATGATCGCCAAGTGACAATTAGAAAAATTATTGAATATCTAACAATAATATAATTATTAAATCCCTAAAATATCGTTTACTTTAGACTTCAGACATGTCAGATATGATAAAAAGAAGGCGCCCATACTTAATCCACATTGGATAAACGACGCTCCCAAGACGGAGGACTCGGGTTGTGATGGTCACCATGCTCATTCTGGGAAAGGATATCCTTATCCACCCATCCTATTGCCGAGATTTCGCCATTTCTGACAAATAAACTGTTCTTGTTATGAAAAATAACTTGCATGGTAAGAAATATAAAACTCGAAAAAATCTTTCAGCTTTTGTGAACAGAACGCTATGGAGTATGTCACGTGACCACTGACCACCTGGATCACGTGATTCACGCATGGACAGAACGGTGGCATGTGCATTAAAATCAGAAAGGAGTACTTTTAAAAAATAATGAACACTGAAACCTAATTTTATTTCTTATATGGAAGTAATTCAATTAGTTCGCGAACTTTCTGATCACCTCTCGTACATATGATTTTATTGTTTTGTTTTAAAACAAGATCTTATAAATAAACACATCTGAAAGTTAACTTTGCTCCGAGTTTTTTACAAAGACTATAATATTGAGGAAGATAAGTGACATTGTGTATGCTAGTATTCTCAAGCTGAATTGGTCAAATATTTAGAGACTATATGGGCCACTATAAGAACACGAAAACTTTACTGATTACTTGCATGTACCAGGAAACTGTATATGTAGATTGAAAACTTTTGTTGTTCGACTATATGGTTTTAATTTAAAGCTGTAGCTAAATAAAAGATATTGTAAAACCATTCCAGACGTTGTGTTAAAAACGCAAGCTGTGAAACAGCTTTCCAGCAAGAAAATTATGTACTCAAAACTTTTGACGTAGTTCACTGACATGTTGGCGCAAAAATTTGAATCGTAAAAATGACTACTATGACACTATTTAATATTTATAGTTTGAATTGAAGACATTTATGTTGAAAGTTTGCTCATTATACCTATCTTACATTTTCAATATGCATGCAATAGGTTACAAAACTAAATACCTGCGTTGGCAAGTTTCAGCATCGAAAAGCTGTAAGGTGTTCTTAGAAAAGCATAATATGCTATGTACTCGATTATCACGTGAATAATTTGAAGTTTATATAAAGAAATGTTAAAAAAATATTGGGAAAAAAGCGAACTGAATATATTGATAGAGCTCAGGTAAATGTTCCCATGGTGAAGTCGAACTCCTGTCTTCATGCATGTAAGCATATCAGGACTCATTTCAGTAATCTTCTTTTCGCTCTCCATTATAAGCAATGCCCTTGCTTATTGCCAACCTTTTTAACATTAAGACCTATACACTATCAGTATATAGGTCCTGAGATTTCATTTCATAGAAAAAAATAGTTGAAACAAGATGTGTTTGTGAAATACTGATTCCCGGGTATGGGGGCTTATGACAAAGGTTAAAGTTTCTCAAATGCAATTTAAACTCCAAGGTCAAGATAAAAAAAATGTTGTTACCCAGAGAAAGGACTTGTCTAAATGAATGTACCTGTACGTGGTACCAAGACACCAACCGTTCAAAAGTTATGGCCAAGGGTAATGTTTTATAAAATTTTGTCAAACTCCAAGGTCAGGGTCAAACGCTCTAATTAAATTGCACCCAGGTGGAAAATAAAATTCCTATTACCACTTATTCAAAAGTTATTGCCAAGGTTATTTTTTTTCAAATGTAGGTCAAAGTTAAGGTGCAAAGGTCAAAATTGTTAGTTACCAGAAAGGTATTGTCAAAAAGAATACACCTGTGAAATATGAAAGCCCTAGTAACCCCCTTTCAAAGGTTACGATCAAAGATAAAGCTCTTTAAAAATAGGCCAAAGTCTAAGGTCAAGGTCAATAGGACAAATAAATACTTTAACCTAAGGAAAGGTCTTGTCAGAATGAGTACACTTGTGAAGTATGAAAGCCTTAGCATTTACTCTTCAAAAGTTAGTGCTAAGGTTAAAGTTTGAAATTTTTTTGTAAAAGTGGATCATACTCAAAGGTCAAGGTCAAATACTCAGTACCCAATGAAGGGTCATGTCCCAAGAAATACACATGTGTAATATGGAAGCCACAGCTCCAACCAATTACAAGTTATAGTTCAAGTTTAAACTTTTAGAACAAATAGACACACAGCTAGACAGACAGACGGGCGGACAGGGCAAAACCTAATCTTCCCTGATCTTTGATGACGGAGGCATTAAAATCTTTTTGTACTTCATGTACATCGAACATTAAAAAGTAGATAGATAAATTTTATTTTTTAAAAATTTAATGGGGAAACAAATAATTGATGTATAGCTTTTAGCAGATTAGCATTTATAATCTATTTCTAAGTGAAGAGTTCAAGGAAAATTAGTTTGATATTTTACCTATTCTTCTTGGTTATAAACAATCACCGTTGTATTTTATTTACCCAAAATTTACCTACGCCTTTTGTTTACTCATGTAATCATATAAATACAGCAGCATTTTAAACATAATATACATGTACTCGTGTCCGTGTGTGTGTGTGTGTGTGTGTGTGTGTGTGTGTGTGTGTGTGTGTGTGTCCAATAAATGTCTTGTAGAGAACGATGACTCAAGAAAAGGAAGTCAGAAGAATTTGTTATACTTCAAACTGCATAGGAATTAATTGCACGATTATGTAGCATTATAATGATATGATAATGGACCCATATTTATGACCAACCCAAACTCATTTTGATATGACTTGAGTCGCCTATTTTTTATATTCATTGCTCGATATTAGTTTCCAAAGCCCCTAGGAGAGTTCAACAGGGGACAACTGGACGGAAAATATAAGTATTCAGCAGTGGCTCACTGCACAAAAAATATAGGAACGTTCAACTGAAAAACTGTACAGGAAATATTTAAAAAAAAAAAAAAAAAAAAAAAAAAAAAAAAAAGCTCCATAGTAGACTAGTCAATAATAGAGCTTGTTTATCTCCCTATACATGTATATGCAAATGAGCTGATTCATGGAGCATGGCAAATTTTCAACATATGGTCAACTGACAATTTATAATCAACTGAATTGAAACCCACGTAAATTGGAATTCAATAAAAATGATGACGTTATATTACCAGGAATCGAATTCATTTGTCAATTTATGTTAAGCTAGCGGAATTAAAGAATATGGGCGAACAAGGCGAGCGAAATGCCTATAATGCTACAAACATGAAGGTGAAAAGTTAAATCTCAGTTAAAACAAAATTTTCTTTGATATTAAAGTATGCTTTATGTAAAATCTCCACAATTTGCAAAAATCTCACAAAGATTGAAATTATTTGGCTATGAAATTAGCATACACACACTAAAGAGGGCAAAAAGGACCATTTTCTCACACTAAAATACAATTGTTCGATATGAGTGGGTCTTCGCTCCATATTTTTCAAAGTTTTTCCTCAAAGTTTGAGAAAAAATATACACTTTTTGGTTAAAAAAAAAAAAAAAAAACATGGAGCAAAGTTCCACTATACCTTAAGATACACTTTTATGACACAACGTTCGCATCTTTCCGAGAAATACTTTAAGTCCATTTAGTCAAGAGTCATATCACAAACATGATTTAAATGCCACTATTCATCGGGAGATGTGTAGTGTAGTAGTTATTCCAAAGGAAAATGATACTTAGGGTTTTATTGCTGGGGGTTCGATCCCCACGAATAGCACATTTTTTTTAACAGAATAATTTTTGCAAAGAAATTTTTCCTCAGAAAAGTTTTGTTTATCATAATTTCATGAATTTCACTAATAAGAACTTTACTTTAAATACTTAATTCACAAATTGAATATAATTTTCACATTTGCAAAGCTAAAGGCATTTTGCAAGCCTTGTTCACCCATCTCCTTTGTTTAAGACTTTTCAATACCTTGCTAAAATATTGGGTATTACATGTGCATCTGTGACAAAGTCACATGTTTAATTTTATTATTATTATCTGACACGTTATCGCATTACAAGTCTCTATAAAAGGAATTCTGAGCAGTACAACGATTCATTTTCAATGCATTATTCCGATGCCAATGCAATAATGGTGGGTTCTAAGATGCTGGTTTTACTTCTGGTTTGCTTTGCAGTTAATGAAGCTGCTTTATACCACTATGGTCATTACCACCACCACGGCGGCCACTTTAGAAATGTGGCGTATGGAAAGAATGCGATTCAGAGTTCCAGATATGATTCCCATAAATATCCAGCATCTAATGCTGTCAACGGCCTCCTCACTGATTTCTCCCACACCAACACAGAAAAATCACCATGGCTTCGGATTGATCTTGGAAGGAACTATGAAATACACGAAATAGAAGTCTTCACTAGAAAGGACTGTTGTGGTATGTAATCAATGATTTATATATTAAACACTCTTGACATTAATTAATTTTGAGAACATATTCATTTTTAGCAAGGTATTTAATATGCAAAATGTTGAGGAGAAGATTACAAACTTCTCTTTAAAATGTAATGTTTACTATCGCTGGAGTCTACTGCTCTGTACTAGATATTGTTATAATTTTTATTTTAATGTCTTTATTGTTTATATATTACACAATTGGAGTTAGAGCATTTTTATCCGTCTAATTATCATTAAATCACAACCAGTCACCTATTCATTTTTTAAATAAGTGAGACATATTACATGGCAGTGAGACATATTGCATGACAATGATTCCATGTAGCCACGATAATCTGTCCCTATGTTAGTAATTTATACTGGAAAATCGAGCATGTTTAATGCCATATCATATTAGATTTGTTTTATCTACCACATAATTGCTTAAATGTAATTTATGAAGACTGTAAATATTTAAATGTACCACCTATCTCAGTAAAGGATAAAAATCAATGGTGAGACCTCCTTTTTTCTTAAACCTTATGAAAGAAATGTTTATTTATGATAATTATTTTCATTTTTATTTTTGAAATCTATTCTAGTCCAATGTAAATTTAAATAACATTCCTTTGATATTTTTTTGTGTCTAAAAAATAATTCAAGGAAACTCATCGTGAAATACAAATGAATGAGATGCATTTTTTTCACTATACCTCGGTTTTTCATTGTAGCGTATTATATTTTTTTTTAACTTTATAATTACATAGGTGGTCGACTTCACGACGTTGATGTCAAAGTGGGCAAAAGACCGTACCTCATGGGGTTTTGCGGTCATTTTTCGGGACCTACAAAAATTGGACAAAAGTTTTCTGTATGGTGTCCGTCTAACACAATTGGCCGATATGTAGAGATACAGATTGTCGGAGGATCGGAGAATGTCCTAGACCCGGCAGAGGTTGTTGTTTGGGGACATTTGTAATTGATAAAAAAAAATCTCAATAAATTAAATTTGCATGAAACGAATAATTCTTACATTCAGTTGTTTCGATTTTTTTTTTTTTTTTTTTTTTTTTTTTTTTTGATCTTTTTTTTATTATTATTATTTTTGTCTTTAAATTTAAGAGCAAACTAAGGAAAATTTTATCCGTTACCACACTTGTTTTGTAGCACACTTAAAACTTTAAATTAATTTCAGCCTCGTCGCATTGGTTTGAATAAATATCAAGTACTCTACCGCGCGCACCGGTTTACCCTTTGCAGATTAAAAGTTCAGAGTTTTTGACTCAGAGGAAATGTGGAATATTGTATGCAAAGATATAACATCTTAGACTTGAAAAGAACAGAAATGCAGGTTATCTAATCTAAAAATTTGAATAAAAACAAATCAAGGAATAAATAAATGAATTAATAAATAAAACTATAAACAAGGCAAACACTCGTACAGGTCTATGTGAAGTCTTTCATGGCAGTTTATATCGTTGTCTTGTTTTTATACCCTCCGTCGTATTCTAAATGAAATATGGAGATAAGAAAAGTAATCAAAGGTTCCATTGTAACAATCCAAATTGGGAGCAGAGCAAACAAAAACCTCTAAAACATCGGAGGTGGAATCAGGTGCCATGAAAGAATAAGTACCAATACATACATGTATATATTGCTAGTAAATATTTGAGGCGTTACTGTTCTTTTTTTTAATAGAATATGGTTTTATGGATTTTATGAGGTGTAAGGATGTTGTTGTGCCCCTTTAACACTACCTTAAAAAGGATTAGATTCTGTAGTTTTTTTCCTTGCATTTAAAGAATCTCATCCTGGTTCATCAAACTATATTGTTTTTGATAAATTTAATATAATTAATCTGAAGATTTTTTCAGCAGGGATTAGAACATCTTCTAACAAAGTTGTTTCTCTTTCATTACGGTCATTAAATTGTCAACTATTGAAATAACGACCACTATGTGAGTTTTAAATATTTTTAATATTCCCAACAATAAAAATGATTTTATACCTATACTGAATTCCTAAACTTAATAGAAATCCATACAAACAAAGATACATAGCGGATTCCAGTAAATGTTCTACCAGGCCAGTTTCTTACTGAACCGTCACGGAAGATCAGTCGGTAGAGCGCTCTATCCTTGATCGGAAGGTTCGAATTACGGCCGCAAATGACCTAAGTCGATAAAAATATCAACTGTAACGTGTCTGGGGTATGAGGCTTCTAAATTGATCAAATCTCGAATGAAGGAGATATATTTCAGTGTGACCAATATATGGTATATCCTTGTAATTTGGTAAATTTCTGTGTTGGTCAGTAATTCTGCATTGTAGAGGCAAATAAGAGCAAAGCATAAGATACTTTAAGTTTCAACATTAATTTAATAACTGAATATATATACCGGTAATACAGATGGCTGGATACGAAAGTAATCAGACAATTGTGAGGTAGTACAGTTGGTCAGGTTGGACGTCACATTATTATATGGTATAAGAGTAACTGTTCCTTAATAATTCAATTTGGTCAATGAAAGTTATAGTAAAATTTTGTTTACGATACTGATTTGCTGTAAATTTACCAAAAATATCAGTAGTTACGTACTCGTTCTAATAGAGATACTTAGCAGGCGTTCTGCGGAGTCAAACTGAAACTTCAGCGTCCATGGCGACGTTTATATAGGGTAAACTACAGGACATGCACAGTGCGCCTAACCTAACCAAAACGAAAGTATAAACCAAAATGGCAGACGATACTAACAACCTCGCCGAAGTGGAACAAACCATGAAAAATACGAAATATGTGACGTCGAACCGTATTTGCATACTCTCTGTTTTCTCCCACTATGAACCTGCACTCGTCAGGACTATAGACGCAACTTGTTCTGCTATGAAGGCAATATCTCGTTTTTTTGCATTCGCATAATACAAGTTAATCCAGTAATATAATGCGTTCAGAAGTATGTATATATCAATTGTTGTGCAAAAGGAATAAATCTTAGTTTTTAATAATATTCTGCGAAAAAAAAAAGAAGAAATTCAAAGTGATTAAAGTTGCTGATTTATATCTTCAAAAAATAAATTTTGGTCAATGTATTTAATTGTATAATAAAACTCTTTACAAATTGAAAAGAACTGCTATATCTTTGTTACTATTTATGCATATTTTTGCAAAGAAAGATAACTCTTCACGCCAGGCTGTTTTACCTTCAGACAAAGCGAAATTTCTGTAATAGTATATCTATTTCAAGAACGATTTCAGCTCTTAAAATGAGTTTGAATAACATAAAAAACATAGTAAAAAATTCTTAAGTTAAAATCAATGTAAAAACACTCTCATTTTCATCATTTAAGAAATAAACAACGTTATTAGTGAACATGGCGTTTTCTCCAATAAAAATTAATAATATTTTATCGTGGTATTTGCTTCTCAACCACAGTTATCTGGATACAAACCTCGTCGTCTTCAAATTCTCGTAAAGATATGGCAGTTCTTTCAATTTGTAAAAAAAAAATTATTTTACAATTAAATATATTGACCAAAATTATTTTTTAGATATATAAATCAGCAATTCTAGTCATTTTGAATTTCTTTTTTTCCGGAGGATATTATTAAAAACTTAGATTTATTCCTTTTGCACAACATTTCATATATATACTTTTGAACACGTTATATATTAGCGTAGTTGCTTGTACTGTGCGAGTGTAAGAAACGAATTGGACTCATAGCAGAAGATGCTGCGTCTATTTAAGAAATGAATTCAATTTTTGAAGATTCATGAGGACATGAACTACGACGCTTCACGCCGGCATATTTCATGAAGCGCGTTAGCGCTTAATGATAAATATGCCAGCGTGAAGCGTCGTAGTTCATGTACCTATTCATTTCTTATATTTACATTATTTTGCTGATGAGTTGCCACAAATTACACAATTCAACTGTCATTTTTAAAGCAAAACAGTTTGCACTATAGTTTTGATGTCAAGTACGGTATTATGACGTAACAATGGAGATATTCATGCTCATCCATGGTAGTTAATGAGAAAATGAACAGTCGTCTTATTTGCAAAGAATCTTAAGGAAAAATATTTGGAAATGTAAATACAGTCCTATGAACGCAATTACAGAGTGCAGGTTCATAGAGGGAGGAAACAGAGAGAATGCAAATATTTCTTAAATAAAGGTAAATGTCATTAAAATGTACAAAAAATTTTGCGTATAATTTAACAGTAATAAAATAATAACGTTCGAGGACAAATATTTTACACCAACTGTTAAAATTCCTTCGCCAAGTGCTCGGTACTTTGAAGTGAAAGTTGCTGTTCTTTCGGATGAGTCCTAAAAAAAACCCGAGGCCTCGTGTCACGGTAGGGGTTTGCACGATAAAGAATCCTCACTGCTCAATGGCCCTGAGTGCCGAGTAAAAGTCTAAATTTGAAGCCCTTCATAAAGTAACGTCTCTACATGAGTGAAAAATTCTCGAACAGGACGTAAAGCAACATACAATCAATCAATTTTATTCTTCATTGAACTATTTACACCAGTGAAGGCCTCCTAGGCACCTGATCCCACCTTTGGAATTTTTAAGGATCCGTGTTTTATGGGTTGGGGCTATCTGGTACCGCTTGCAGGGTGGCTGGCAGGAGTTATCTCTCCATAAGTGCGTACGAGTTATCTCGCATTACAACGGTGATAACCATGAATTTGTACCCTTATTAAAAAGTTCCACTTCAATCGTTCTATAGAAAGGTTAATGTTTCTTTAATATGTAAAACGTAATAATTAAGAAAAAGAAAGGGAGCGAGACAAATAAAGTCCTCTAATTACTGATTTGGGAGCATATAGTGCACGGAGCCCCCCCCCCCTAAAAAAAATGTACGATGAAGTTTTTTTTTTAAATTATTTAGTTATTTTATATATATATATATATATATATATATATATATATATATATATATATATATATATATATATATATATATATATATATTATTTCATGCACATATTTTTATTATTTGTTTATTTATTTATTTTTGTAAATACATACCTTTTGTTTATCACTCGAGACTACGATGTTTTCAGTTACCTTTTGTTGTTATTCTTTTCTTTTGACAATGTTCACTCGCGTTGTCATTCTCGCAGACATATGGCACGATAACCGAACGTCTTTCTTCTTGAAATTGAAACTCTTATAAATTAAAGTAAAACAAATTAGGGAATTTTGAATACCACTCCATGTATCAGCGAATGCCGATATGCAAAGACTCTACATAGACCTTTTATTATATACTTATTTACAATCAAATCAAGGGTCGAAAGGAAGTGTTTTTGAATGTCTCCAAGTTATTAACAGTTCTTTCTGTCTCTGTCTGTCTGTCTGTCTCTCTCTCTCTCTCTCTCTCTCTCTCTCTCTCTCTCTCTCTCTCTCTCTCTCTCTGACGGTAGTGAACCCCTGACTCAATCCGTGCTTGCTGTGTTCTACATTTATTTTAAATTTCAGACACTCGTTGTTAGCTTTCTAGTCATCATCTTCTAATTCACCGGAAATTTTTCTGTTTTTTTTTCTAATATATTTCATCCCATTTTTACACAGTGAACATAACAATGCCATGATAACCTTGTACAATTTACTAATAATGATAGCGTTTATAACATAGGTTCAACTAGTATTTCAAAACTATCCCAGAAATATAATTCGGCATCTATATGTATGGCCTCCCCCCCCCCCCCCCCCCCCCCCGATGAAAAAACTAAAAATTCTTAAACCAGTATTTAATAGTGATATTTATTTTCTTTAATGCAAAATATGAATAGGGGAATGTTTTAACGCCGAGAATCAACATTTAATAGTTCTAAATATGTGTATAAAAGTTTAGACATACTAAAGTCACCTCTATCTAAATTTTTGCTAAGATTGTCAAATCTTAGCATGCTTTTAGTTACGGTATTGTTTGACACTGTACATTCTTCAGTCCTTCTTAAGCAAGGTCTTAGATTTAAGTACCCTTTATGTTACGACACCCAGAAAATG